ACCGCCCGAGGGGACATATTTGAGTATGTGAGCCACCGGTGGTACACGCCGCCCGAGGGGACATATATTTTTGAGCCACCGGTGGTACACACCGGCGTGAACACGTTAAACAAACTAAAGTCATTCGTACAAGCACCAATACAAAATAAAACTTCATACATTTATTTTATTAATAAAATTTAGGGGAAGATATATAATTAACCGAAATTTATTTTGGTTAATTTATTACTTTGAATTTTAACCTCTTATTTGTTTCCTTATCACTTTTTATTTTGATTCGGTTGCTGTGCGACTGCTTCTTACACCGACTGTGCATCACTCGAAAAAGAACCATTATCCAATGCTTTGGCAAAAATAAATACATTTTCATAAAAGAAATACTGCTTTCAATAAAAGCTTGCCTCGTAATGTTTGAACAATAGTAACGAAACGTAATTGAGATTACGTCGTCACGGCGAGTGTGTCGTTAATTTAACCGAGAAAACTTAATAAGTTGTAAACGCGAACGCGTGGCGGTCGTCCAGCAGACCCGACGGTTGAACCTTAGAGGTTAGGGGCACATTAAGTGTGTATGAAACACTTAAGGCACTCGCGCCTGCGGATATACGTTTCTACGATCTTCCTTGCGTAATTGCACGGGTACAGGTGTGCTCTTCGAACGAGACCACGTACTCTTCCAAAGAAAACACTTGGGGAACGCGATTATGATTTTCAATGGAGATATACTTCTTTTTATGGAAGCTCCCGAGCACTTAACAGGAAGAATTTACCAGAAATTAGTATTTTGAATTAGATACAAAGTAAATAGAAATATTTTATTTATAATTATTTCTAGGTACGTTTACGAATATTTGTGGCAAAATAAAATCTTCGTAAGCGTACCTAGAAAACATTTAATATATATTTATTTTACTGTGCAAATATTATAATATATAGATTTTTATTCAAATATTTTGTACGTTATTGCATACTGTGTGCATTTCGTACACTGCATTTACTACAAAATCTGATGCAATTAAATAGTAGCACTCTGTATGAAGTAATTAATATTAAGACCCTGAAACTAGCCAATGTCTAGACTATATACAGTACACGGAAATAATTAACGCGATAGTCGCCACGGCATGGTACGTGAATTCATGACAAATTGATGTGCATCTGCGTCGAATATGGCTCCTCTCGAGTGCGTCGGATGCAAGATGATGGATCGATTCGATAACACTCGCACATGCTCGTGTTTACCTTGACATCAATTCTCAGGATCCAAGAAAGCCTTTTTTTCTACCGTCGGTAACGTTATCGACGTCGCAATTTTTACTCTCGTCGCTTCTGTTATTAATGAGATTCGATAAATCGATTACTGGTATTTAATAAGAACGTCTCGATTCTAGACGTCTGGAATCGGGTTGTTCTTGCCTGCCAATAATCGATACACCCACCTGAATTCTTTTTTCGACAACTGTTTCAAGGATACAAACTTAAATAAGGAAGAGACTTACCATCCGATACCTTCCGATACCACCGTTCCACATATTTTCTTTTTATCCTTTATTTCAATTAACATTTAATCGTTTTGCTTGCAGAATCCAGAGTCCTCGTCAGAAAAACAGCAGGAAACGTTGCAACTGTTCGCTACATTTCATCGCCAATGGAGTGAGTCCAGTTTCAAATCGTGTTATAACTAGTGCATAACACGTTGACTGCCAGACCGACAATCGGCAAAATTCCTGCTAGTATAAAATTTCGTTTCTGTTAGAAATGATGGTGACACTTCCTGTCCTCGCCACTAGAGGGACAAGTGTACAAAATACAAATCTTGTGTTTCTCACGAGTCCTCGGTCCCCCCTAACATTCACATATAAGCCCCCTCCTATATAAGCTCTTCCATATACGCACCACAATATAATTAGAAATGATATAATCCAACATTTGTAATTGAAAGTCATTTCTGTAATCGCTTTAGAAAATTCATGAATCCTTACCTAGATTTCTTTCCTTGAACACCACACCATCAGAATTAATGTACTTAATTTCTTAATGAGAAAATCCTTGTCCATCCACGTATATGGGCAACTAAATATGGTCAACGTGTTAACACAAAATTTACAACAACGCACTTAATATTAATTAGAAAAAAAAAAAAAGAAAGGAGTTAATATTAATTTAAGTTTCTTGGATGCAGGTAGAAGTGGACCAAGAAGATGGAGATAGGAGAAGGACCGTCGCTGTAATAGATGACCCGTAGGTCGTCCAGAATTCCTGGATCGTTTGTACCCTTCGAAAGAACCTTCCCGATATACTCGAGATGACGATAACGGCGTCCACGGAGAGAATGGAGACGAAGGACCTGCCCAGAAAGAAGTTCATCAACTCTAATCTGTTGTCGCTGAAGCTTTTATTGTTCCTTTTTTTCGGCGGTACGTGTTGGGTCGAATTCGTCAACTATTTTAAAACGTGACCCGATTCGGAAGGTGAAACGAGTCGACTCGATTTCTTGCAAATTATACTAGAAAGAAACATACACACCCCTTGCTCGCTTTCTTCTCGTTAATTTCGTCGTTTCAGCCCCTTTATATGCGAGCCAATTCAGAGTTCGTTCAGATGCTCGGGCTAATTAAGAGATCTTCCTTCCAATGGGGAAAGCAATTAACTACAATTTTCAATTTGATACGTACTCCAGAGTATCCTGCTGTTTTATCAATTACCTACGCAGAATACTATGTGATTTTTCTTCAAATTGAGTATAAATACCCATTTCTAAAAAAGACATTAATAAAACCATAGGAAGAAAGGAGGAGCAATTACAGATTTTTGAATTTATCGATACTTTTAGCAATTGGATGAAAAATGTTTAATGAGAAGTTCATTTGTAATTATTTCTATCGTGATGGGATAAGTCTAGTCTTAAAGACACTATTTTTTAATTAAATGCGAGCATATCTCGCATGGAGCTAAATTGAATAATGCATTCAACAATTGTATATAATTTATATATTTATATAGCATATACAAGTATACAAAAATTTGAAAATGGTAATTTGACTGGTAGGTTTAGTGTCGATACAAAGAAGTCTGTCTAAATTAAATAATAGTTTTGATGTTACCAAATGAATTATTCGCACAATTATTCACATTATAAATATGAATAAGTTTATGCATGTATATATTTATATATACATCAACATATTTATACAAATATACATTGGGGAACATCAAACGTACCATTTAATTGAAACAAATCTCTTCGATAGACATAGATGGTGCTAATATCTATGGGACAAATGTACATATATACATTTAACCTACTATTTTAACACTTTATTTACCGGGAGCCTATTTATAGGCTTTTTCATTCCAGTCTTTAGCTTTTCGAATTTATTTACTGTGTTGATGGTTGTCTACTTACAATGTTCAGTTTTTGGAAACAGACTTGGCTTTCAATGTACTTAGTAACAGTATGGAGGAATTATTGTCAGCCTATATTGGTATATGCTACTGTAGAAGATTCTTTTTTGAACTAAAAATTGTTTCTAAATAGCCCGGTAGATAAAGTGTTAATATTTTTGACTATTTCACCTCTAAATATCGCACTAACAATCATCCAACTTTGCCTTAAAATATTCTTTTACTAAATATAACGAAATGAAAGCCTTACCGGTTCGTATTTTCAATTTCTGTTTGCTTCGCATATCAAGAACACACAACACACATTTTAAAGGATATTAATATTACTCCAACAGGAATGGGTTGCCTCTTCCCGTTTCTCCCGCTGCACATGATGGAAATGGGCCTGAGCATGGACCAGATACGAATGATCTCGATGATCTCGCCAGCGGTAGCGATACTAGGTCCACTGGTCGCTGGGCCGATCGCTGACAAGCTGGCAGGCCATCAGGGTCGAAACGAGAAGTCCTCAACGGGCCGTTACCTCAGGATAATGATCGCCATCGCCTGCGTCCTGTCCGCCATTTTCTACGCCTTCCTTCTAATCATCCCCACAGTGGAATCCGATGGATTGGACAGTGTCCTGCCTCGCAGGGAAAGGAGACCCGGTGTAAAGTTCAACTGCGATCCGGCTGGCGCTGTCGTGCTGCAAGAGAGATGCAAGGACCGTGGATTGTGCCACAGATGGTCGGACGAGACCAGAGTCGGTCCTTTGCTCCTGACGGGATGCAACTACGCTTGCTACCCTGTAGGCTCCAAACGATGGAGAGTGGAAGACTCGGAGGGCTCTGTCGGCTTTGGGACCACCGATTCGGACGTCAATGGGCTCGATGGCAGTGGCGACACCACAGTTATCCCTCTGGAGAGCGAAATGTATGCGCAGGTGAATATCGAGGATGGATCTGGGATGATATTATTATATAGTTGGGCATTTTGGGGCCTTGCGGAGGGTTCTTGTAGAGATAGTGGTCCAAAATGGACTACCAC